TCGAACCCGTGGGCTCAGGCAATCCACTCACCTCAGCCTCCCAAAGGCACGGAATTACAGGCTGAGCCACTGAGCCCGGCCGATGCGGCCAACTTTACTGTTGTTTTATTTTAAGACATTGCCACAGACACTCCAGCTTTCAGCAACTACCATCCTGATCAGTTAGCAAGACCCTCTACTGGCAAAAAGACTGCAACTTGCTGAAGGTTCAGATGATCATCAGATTTTTTTAGTAATAAAGTGTTTTAAATTAAGGTATGTACATTGTTCTTTTTATACATAATGCTACTGTATACTTAATAGGGCAAAGTATAGCATAAACATAAATTTCACATCACCGAGAAGCCTAAAATTTCATGTGACTTGCTTTATTGAGAGTCACTCTCATTGTGACTGGTCTAGGACTGAATCTGTAATATCTCTGAGCTACACCCATATTCTGATTCTGAAAGGCAAAAAAACCAAAAACAAACAAAAAAACCAAAACCCCTAACTAGAATCAGAAGACCTAGTGTTGTCTTTTCACAATTTGCCTTCTGCTTTTCTTTAGCCACATCTTTCTACTTAGTTGAAAACAAACAGTATTACTAGTACCCTTTTACTGTAGTATTATTGTCTTACATTTTCAATTCCACATACCACTGACAATATACAACAGGAAAGCTATTGCACAAAAATTAGATATTATTAAGTGTTAACCTGTATATATTTGCTCTACAGATTATCTATCTATGATTATTTACTATCTTTTCTCTAACTACTACCACTTTTTGGCCATTTCAATAATCTTTCACAGCATAACCAAAGAATGAGAAAAATGGTTAGAAGTGAATTAGTAAAGTTTGCTCCTTTGTTAACAACTAAAATTCGGGGACAGCTTAAACTCATTATATTAATAGTTTTATTCACAAAACAAATGAATTAAGAAGTAATGTATTTTAGAAAATAACTTACTATAGGATCCCTTTAATTAGCAGCCCAGCAGTTAAATTATTAAGTTTGCCAAAATTTTGATAGCTTTTTAGAAATATATTTACTAAGCAACAAACAATAAGGTATAATGATAGAAGATATTAATCCTATTTATAGATAAGGTTATGGTATTACCTACAGATTTCACTTTTCATACTAACAATCTCTCCCTTTATCATAAACAAATGGAAGTTATCTGACTGCTACAAGTTTCAGGCAGTAACTTATAAAATGAGGAAAAAATATGTGGGATATAGATGCAGAGAGTATCTTAAGTGGGTGACACCATCTCATTTAGAAATTCTGACAAGCTCTTAACCGTATTGTACTTTGAGTTGTAGTTCACTGGCCTACTATTTAAGAATGGGTGTTTAGGCACAACAAAAAAGCATAATATAATTAACAGGACATGTTTTTCATACCTCTTCATCTTTCACATTCACATCCACATTTTTCGATTTGATGGCTTTGGTTATGTGGTCAATGTTGTTTTCCCTGCAGTAATCAAATATATTTTTGTCTTCTTCCCTAGAGTTAAAAAAAAAAGGTGTTTTTCTTACTGGATAATACATAAAATTACATAATTTTAACATAATTTGTTATTGACATACACATTAATGGAATCTGCTTTTATAAAAAAATTTACATGAATAGTAATAGATTTTCAATAATATAATACATCTAACCTCCAAAAAGACTAAGGTTCTTAGCTTACTACTGCCTCACAGCATAACAGAATAAACTGTTATTCAAGTACAAATTATACATATATTACATAACTACATATATATGAAAGTAATCTTATTAAAGGAAAGATAATTAATTAGAAGAAAGAAAGTTCAGAAGTCCTTTATGAGATGGTAGAACCAAAGACTGGAAACAAAAGTTGGGAAGCACACTAAGTACCCAGCACTATTCTAAGTAATTGCCTGTGTTAATTCATTTAATCTTTAAACCCACAACTTCACTTTACAGATAAAGAAACAGGAAAAAAAAAAAAAATAGAAGCTAAATGATCTGCCAGATGGTACCATGTTTATCAAAGGTAGAGTAAGAGCTAGAACTCACTTAACTTTTTTTTTTTCTATTATGCTGCCGTAGACAGCATAATCAGCTATACTCTACCCCAAAATCTAAAGAAGTTCTCTCTGCTCCTCCCATTCGACAGACAGCCCTATTTCTTGTGCAGTACCAGTCACAGCGCCAAGGCACCATGGAGAAAGTGAAGGCCCGAGTGAGTTATTTGGCCACACTGGATGCCTGGTGACCAGGGCTGCTTTTAAGTCTGGCAAAACAGATATCACCATCAAAAACCCCTTCAGTGACCTCAACTGCACGGTCTACATGTTTCAGTATGACTCCACCCATGGCAAGTTCCAAGGTACCGTTCAAGGCCATCAGTGGAAATCTCATCACCATCTCCCAGGAGTAAGAGCCCACCAAAATTAAATGGGGCAATGCCGGCACTGATTATATAGTGAAATTCACCTGTGTCCTCAATACCTCGAAGAAGGCTGGGGCTCACTTACACAGGGAAGTCAAAAGGGTCATTATCTCCACCACATCTGTTGACACCCCCATATTTGTGATGGGCATGATCCATGAGAACCAGAAAAACCTCACAATTGTCAGCAACACTTCCTGCACCACCAACTGCTTAGCCCACCCAGTCAAAGTCATCCAGGACAACTTTGGCATCGTGGAGGAATTCATCACCACCATTCACACAATTACTGTCACTCAGAAGACTGTATATAGCCCCCCTGGGAAACTGTGGTGCCAAAGTCACAGGCCCTCCAGAACATTATCCCTGCATCTACCGGTGCTGCCAAGGCCACAGGTAAGGTCATTCCTGAGTTGAAAAGGAAGCTCACCAGCATGTTCTTCCATGTCTCTCCCACCAATGTGTCCATCGTGGATCTGGCCTGTCATCTGAAGAAACCCACCAAATATGATGACATCAAGAAGGTGGTGAAGCAGGCATCCAAGGGACCTCTCAAGGGCATCCTGGGCTACTCCAAGCACCAGGCTGTGTCCTACAACTTTAATAGCGACACTCATTCTTCCATCTTCGATGCTGAGGTTGGCATTGCCCTCAACAACCACTTTGTCAAGCTCATCTCTCAGTATGACAATGAATTTGGCTACAGCAACAGGCTGGTGGACCTCATGGTTCACATGGCCTCCAAGGAGTAAGAGACTGGACCACCAGCCCCAGCAAGAGCATGAAAGGAAGAGAGAAGTCCTCAGCTACTGGGAGTTCCTGTCATACTCAGTCCCCAAGCACACTAAGGATCGCCCCTCTTCACAGTGTCCATGCCAGATTCCCTGAAGAATCAGGGGTGGGTGGAAACCTAGGAAGTCCCACCTCATCAGGTACCATCAATAAAGTTCCCTGTAGCCGGGCTCGGTGGCTCAGCCTGTAATCCCGCGCCTTTGGGAGGCTGAGGTGAGTGGATTGCCTGAGCCCATGGGTTTGAGACCTGCGTGGGCAGCGAGATCTCAACTCTACAATAAATCAAAAAAAAAAAAAAAAAAAAAAATCAGCCGGGCATAGTAGTGCATGCCTGTAATTCCGGCTACTTGGAAGGCTGAGGTGGAAGGATCGCCAGAGCCCAGCAGGTCAAGGCTGCAGTGGCCAGGAGCGGCCACTGCACTCCAGTCTGGGCAACAGAGTGAAACTCCAACTCAAAAAATTAAATTAAATTAAATTAAATTAAAAAATAAAAAATAAAGTTCCCTGTATTCAGTTAAATAAATAAATACATTCTTACCATGAGATCTTCAGGCTTTCTAAAATAGTATACAGAATTATCTTTGCAATGAATGTGCATTTTTCTGGATGTGTAAGTTTGCAGGGGGACGGTTTTAATCACATCCTCAAAAGGATCAGTAATTTAGAATATTAACAATGTAACTGCCCTATATGTGGACTGAATTTTATGGACAAGTATAAAAGAATGCACTTTGAGTTCTGATAATTAAACTAGTGTGTTCTGAACCGGCAAGGTCATAGCATCCACTCATCAGAAATCAAAACATCTGGCCATAGGAGTTCTACCTTAAAAGTCAACTTAAACACCCTACGCCATATAAAAAGTTATTTCCAGTCACAGCTAATTACCTTAAAACACTCAACCACCTGAAACCTTCCTTAAGTATCTGGTGCATTTTATTGAGCACCTACTACATGCAAAGCACTGGGCAAGATTTTGTTGATAATAGGTAGCTAGAAAGAAAGATTTTGTTGATAATAGGTAGCTAGAAAGAAAGCAAGAAAGTTTACTCTTAAGACACAAACAGTACAGCTGGGATGTTAAGAATCTCTAAAAAGGATTATAAGAGAACAGAGCAGCTGGAGAAAATAAGGTAGGTTTTAAGCAAGAAATCATGTTTAATAGGGATATATGGTCACTTGATTTGCAGAAGAAATGTTTTTTCAAGTAACTCTGTAAAAGAGAAGTATGATTTTTAAAATTATGGCTGCATATAATACCACTTTAGCCATATTTAACTACCATAAAAATATTGTTTCTATGAAAAATTGCATTCAGTATTCCAACTTAGAAGTAATGGGGACATATGTTCCTATCAATCTAGTAACAGAAAATCCATTAATTAAAGAGGCAGCAACCACAGCCATTAGAGAAAAGACTGTCTTTTAGAGTCATAACAAAAAATACAGTACTCGTCAATTGTTCTAAATTTAAAAATAATAGGGAGTTGCTGGTGGAGCATAGACTAAAAAAAGTAGGATACCGGGATGTGGGCTACCCATATCCAATAATATGCAAAGATTATCACAGATGAGAGGACCTTCTGAGCAGTCTCATTTCCTGAAGCCAACTTCCAAGTGTGCATGTATACCCATGCCATAAGCAATAAAAGAGTAAACACAGCACAAACATATCTGAATTTTTATTTCGCTTTATATATTTTTTTCTTTTTCTTTTTTTTCCTTGAGTTGGAGTCTCACTCTGTCGCCCAGGCTAGAGTGCAGTGGCATGCTCACAGCCACCCCAGCTTCGACCTGTTGGGCTTCGGAGATCCTTCTGCCTAAAGTCCTCCAAATAGCTGGAACTACAGGCGCATGCTACCACACCCAGCTATGCTTTACATATTTAAATGTTTCCTAGATACATCATCTATATACCAATTATTTTGTTTCAGTATGTAAATTTTTTGGAGGGCAGGGAGCTTTGGCTCATCTAAATACGTATTTATCATATTGGTTTATTGTAACTAAATATGTTAGATATAGAGGTATTTATAAAATCCTACAGGGCAGGGTACACAACTTAAATATAAAAAAGAGAAGTTCAAGAAAATTAACATAAGTTTTCTAGAAAGTTGAGTAATTTTTAAAAATTAAGTGATATTCTTGGGCTTGTTAAAATAGATACCACCCCACACCAAATTTTGACTATCTTACCTACCACAACCAAGCTGTCTTTATACAATGTCACCACCTAGTGGCCACAATGAAGATCATCTGTAGCAAAACCATTTCACATCTCCTTTCCTGCTCCCTAACAAAATTATGTACAATGTACAAATCTAACTCTCTTTCTATCTCTACATTTCTCTGTTAAAAGCTCAATATAGTTTTCCATATTCAATCTTTCCCTCTATGGTGATCTGAAATAAAACAATGTACAAATGAATTCAACTATTATGAAATCTAGTAGAGGCTTATTAAATGTGTTCGCCCACATTTTCTTAACTTTATCTTCCTTAGCTTTCTGCTTTCATTTGTTGAATGTGAGCTTAAAAATTATCATATTCATTCTCTATGAATAACTATGAGTTACATTTTTGATCCTGCTCTAAAGGATGTATCACATTATCCTAAGCACAAGACAGCAAGTCTCTCTTTAGAGTACTCCAAATTCGTCTGAAATTGACAGAAAACACATTTTTTATCTGAAGGAAAAATCATTAGTTTTCTTTGAAATTAGTTTGAAATATAAGAACACATCCCTATGGAAAAGAGAGCTAGTGTTTAAGTATGGCTATCTTTCATCCAATCACAGGAAGAATAGATCCTTGCCCATCTGTAAAAATGTTATCTGCACTATTTTCTACACAGATTGCATTTTTCTATCAAAATAACACTTCAAATAGTTAGATTTCATGGCAAGGCACAAAGAGTTCATTTAATTACTATTTCATCTACTTGACAGAATAAAAAAATACATTTATGGAACTAGCTTGGAAATCTATTTAACAAGTACATTCACCAAATATCCAAATCAAACCATGTATTTACCAATCAACTGGAAATAAGACATAAAACACAGTATTCTAGAAAACAGACAATAAATATTTAGTAGATGAATGAAAATCCAAAGAAAATAAGACAGTATCTACAAAGAAACAAACAAATGCCATTAATTCCTCAATCTAAGGAATGTATATCTGTGGGATCAGGATATGCAGGTATGGATAATTTTAAGTGAATCAATTTTCAGCTCTTCAACTTCTAAATAAATGGATTCTTTACTAAATGGATCCACCTGACAAGGCTC